GCTGCACCCGCGCCTTCCCTCGCGGGCGCCGTCGCGCCGCGCGCGCCCAACTCTGCTGGTACACGGCACGCGTCGTCACTCAGCCGCGGAGAACAGGCGGTGCAGCGCGCGAAGCGCGCGCGATCTCGTACTTTCAAGGGGCTGGATCCGGCCATTCCAAGGGTATACCTTTGAGAATCCCCAACTTCCACCCTCCTAATCACACTCGCTCAATTTCTCGACTGGCCAACACGAAGTGCTGCGATCGAGGTGGGCCCATTTCTTTTTTCCTTTCTTTTTTGGGTCCTGTGGGCACCCTAGGCATGTAGCTAGCGTTCTTTGCGAATGTCTCGAAATGGCCAGCAGGTAAGATCATATGGCCTCGCGCATCCGCATGTGCCGCATCGGCTCCCTCATGCCACAACCCCTCACAGCCCACATCGCACCCCCTAATCGCTTTTGATGGATGATGCCTTCATTGATGCATGATGGGTGAGCCCGCCACGGCTGCCTGGCGAGGTGCCTCGGGCCTCGGCTGGCACGTGGCAGCTCCGCTCCTCGACGCTCGAGAGCGACTCGGGTCGGGGGGGAGGTCGAGACACGAGAGAGTCGAAAGCTCGAGCGCGAGAGTGACCGTGTGTGTTACGCTCAACGCTCTACGCTGCCCGCGGGGGCGCGGGCTCGCGGTGACGTGTGGCGTGCGTGGAGAGAGAGGTCCAAAACCGGACCAACGGCCGGCACGCAGGAGCTGCCGCACATGTCATGGCCGGATGCGTCAGAGTGGAGTGTCCGCATAGTCGAGTGCCGCACCTCTCTGGACTCTGCAGACTGCACTCTCGACTCGCACGTCTGGCAGCGTGACCTAGAGAGATACTCCACACGCACGCACGCACACGGGCCTCACGGCTCGGACGACGGCCTCCGCACACGCGTTTTGAAGAGATGCAGAGCTGCTAGCATTCCACTCTTCCATTCCTCCTCTCTGCGTACGCGAGCACCTCCGCCGCGCCGAGCACGTCCTGCAGCAGCAGGCAGGCGGCGGCGGCGTGGCCCCAGTGCTGGCGGCGGGCGCTGTGCCGGCCCGGCCCGAGGGCGAGCCGGGTGGTCCACGTCTCGTCCCACAGCAGGAGGCGCAGCCCGGTCGGCGCCGCCTCTCTCAGCCTCTCCGCCGCCGCCTCGACCAGCTCGCACTCTCGCGAGCGGCGGCCGTCGGCGAGGTACGGCATGCCGAGCACGACCCCTCCGGCGTCGAGCTCCGCCGCCAGCGAGCAGATCGCCGCGGCCTGCGTCGCGAAGCGGGACGGGCCGCTGCTCTCCCGCCGCTCGCGCGAGATCACCCACGCGTCGGCGCCGGGCGGCTGCGCCCATCAAAGGGACTGCTGCAGAAGACGCCCAATCTTGCACAAGTGCAAGAACCATACCGTCGGGTACTTATTTTAAGAGCAGGTAAACAGCAATAGATCCGGCCCTCAAGCGGCCTAATCGATACCCAGCCCTCACGGAATCGGTCCCTCGTTGTACAGCAATCGATCCTTCACACTGCCCGCGCTGCCAAACTTGCTGAGAATCGGTCCCCCCACCTGTGGCGCGAAGCTGATATGTCTCCCGCGCTCGGCGCGCCGACCGCGCAGCGGCGGCAGACCACCCTCCGGTTCGAGGGGCGCCTGGGGGTGAGCGGGCTGCCTCCGCCAGAGTTTGGCTCGCCCACCTGTGCGGGCCCCCCTGTACCCCCTCCCCCCCCCGGCCCGGGTGTCTAGCAATTGGTCCCTTGGCAAGCGCGAATCGGTCCCCCTGGCTCCAGGAACTGATCCGGCACTACACCCGGATCTATTGCTGTTTACCTGCTCTTAAAATAAGTACCCGACGGTACTGTACTTGGCTAAAGTCTGCCCAGGTTGTGGAGGACACGATCCCGGCGTGAACACGACTAACTGACGGATCCGCTCCTGACAGTCGCACGCGCCGCGCTGCAGCGCGTGCGACCTACTGTGTGAATACGTTTTCCACGTATTCCAAATGACCTCCCAGAGGCCTGTATTCTGCCGTATTCCACCCGTATTCCACGTATTCCATGGAATACGCCGTATTCCAAGCTCCAAAAATGGACGTATTCCGTATAAAATTTTCTTCGCTCCGCGAATTCACACAGTAGGGCGTGCGACTGTCTTTGTTTGAAGTAAAAAGTCGAATCAGAGCGGCGTCGGCGTTGTCCTCCATTTTCCTCTCACGGACCGCCCGTCCCCGGCACCGCTCCGGGACGCACGCCGGCGAAGCACCATCAAGCTGCTGTACGGCCCCGGCATCGCCTTCCCAGGCTTAGCTAGACTGAGAGATATTGTGCACATGGTTGATCTCTACAATATATACACTGACACTGAACCTCCCAGAGCTCGTCCCGGTCCGTCACGGCCATCCTCGTCCTCCGGCGGGCCCCCGGCCGCGGCGCGGTGCGGCGGCGTCACAAATCCGAACGCAGAGCACCGGGACGCGGTCGGGGGATCTGAGGCCCAGTGAGGCGTATGCATTGCCCATCCAGGGCTATCACCTGGACCTATCAACAGGCGCCTGCGGCGCCGTGCTCAGGAGCCTACTGTGTGAATTCGCGGAGCGAAGAAAATTTTATACGGAATACGTCCATTTAGCATTTTTGGAGCTTGGAATACGGCGTATTCCATGGAATACGTGGAATACGGGTGGAATACGGCAGATTACAGGCCTCTGGGAGGTCATTTGGAATACGTGGAAAACGTATTCACACAGTAGGCTCAGGAGCTGCTGCTCCAACCTGTTCACACTTTGGTACGGCACAGTACGGACACGGAGCACTTGGAGTGCAGTCGGTAACCTCACATCCAGGGCCGGGGGGCTAAGAAGCTCACCCAGCGGTCCGCATGATTTTTTCCTGCGGCACCAAATTCTTTTTTAGCGGCCCTGGAAGCTTGGTTGCGGCCGCGCGCGGTGGGAACGAGGAAATCGGCTGCTATGTGAGCTGTGCAGAGGCTGAAACCAAGGAACTCCTGCCGCAGGAGTATGCACAACAGGCGCAGCTGCGCACATTGCTCAACCGCCACCCTGTATTTCGGCAGCACTATGGCCTGGAGCCGTGGTTCGCAGGATGTACTGATGAGAGCTACGTGGGCTGCGGGCTTGAGTCGAAGATATTCACAAATGCATACATCAGCTTTGGATCACGCAGCCGTGACTGCCACACCGACTACCGGAACCCATCAATTACACACCTCACTACACGGCTCCGCGGCCACTGGGATGGCACAGTCATCACCGGCCAGACGGTTCTCTTCGATCGCTACGGAACACGAGCTGTGGTTGTTGACGACAGCATGCGTGGCAGGCGGCTGGTTGGCGGCCTCAACATCATCAAGCACGCAAACATGGGGCCCAAGGGCGATGTCATTACCGACAAGGGCTTGCTGAAGTGAATGGATTGATTTGGTCAGAGAAGAGGCCAAGGAGGACCAAGGCGGCGGGGAGAATCTGTGTACACATACACATTCGTTCGGCTGTGTCCCCGTGCGGCCTGCCTGATGGCGTGGCGCCCGCCCTCCACCCACATCCCCGCGCAGCGCCCTCCAACCGCACTGCCTCCGTACTATCAATTTAACAGTACAGTATACAGAGTACTCGGTTACATCATGATGGTCCGCATGGAGTCGTACCCAACTGTGTAGAGAGTGGTGGTTGTATAACCATGTGTGAAGCATCACAAGCCCGACCATTGCACACAAATACAGATTGAGGCTATCTTCTCACATGCGCGTGACAATGTGTGAAATATACTCGCTTAGTGTGGGTAAACCATAGTAGCGTATACGCTACTATGAACAGAGAAACCCACATAAGGATCGCCGCTGCAGTCCACGACGAGCCAGCCTGCTGCCGGCTCGCACGGCAGCCTCTTCCTCTCGACCAGCCTCAACTTCCATACAGTCAACATTTTGTCGCTGCGTGCTCGTGGCGAGCTGTGGCGGCGGTCGAAGTTGGCCCAGATTCGACGACGAGCGCCGGACGATAGTAGTGTCTCTGTTCGCCCTGTGCATGTCAGGCCAGGCTGCAGCAGGGCACTACCATCGTGCTGCCCTGCTGCAGCCTGACTTTGCCCACTGTGCACAGCCGCCAGAGCATCACCACCGCCCGGCATCGTGTCACGGCGAGCTTCTTCTGCGCCCGCTCGCGAGGCTCTCGCGCTGGTACACTTTGGCCATCTGCTGCTCGCGTTCGGCGAGCTCTTCTCCGCACTCCTGCCACGGTGCCGTCACCACACACCTTCTGGCCGGCCTGAGCCGCGCGGACTCGCCGGCGGGGGCAACGTATCGACCTCTCTCTCTGGTGCACCACGGGCCGCGACGGCCTGCTAGCAGCCGGCGCGAGGAGGCAGTGTGCCGGCACAGTCGAGCCGGAGCATCGGGTTCTTGATGCTTGTGGGGTCAAGTTTGACCTTATGTGGCATAATATGCAACAATAAGGCTATGCTGTCTCCCGGCTTTTTGAGATATGATCCCTCAAAGTCGAATTATGGTTTACTGGTGACCATAGTAGCGTCTCCGTCTGTCCTGTTTGCGTTTCTTCACACGAATACTTTAAAGTCTCGACAATCGCTAAGCTGCTTATGTGGCACCGCAGCGGCTCCCTTGGGGATGCCTGAGGCCACCCCAACCACTCACCAAGCCTTACGTGGACGAATTCAAACCTACTTTTATGGTTTACCTACACTAAGGGAGTACCACTTTCTCAAGCAGACACTCGGTGGAGTCACAATTCCACCCCTTATCCGATGTCCCAATTCCACGCCGAACGGAAGGACGAGGGCGAGCTCCGCTCCACGGCAGAGGTCGCCGCCGGCCAATCTCTCTGCCCTGCGCGGACGCGCGGCGCCGCCCTCACACCGGCGCGCGGCCTCAGGTCTTCTCGAGCGTGCGGCAGCAGGCCGACCAAATCGGGAAGCGCTTCGCCAGCGGCGGCCGTTACACGGAGGAGCAGTTCAAGGCGGGTGCGGACGTGAAGGACGGGCCGGAGCCGGCGGCGGAGGAGGGCGGTGGCGGCGAGGAGGCCAAGTCGGACGCAGTCAGCACCAACTTTGACCCAGACGACAACCGCACGCTGTACGACCGGCTCAAGGAGCAGCGCGACGCGAAGCAGGAGGAGTGGGAGGCGGCGCACCAGTTCAAGAACCAGATGGACCACTGGCGGCTCGACGAGGACGACGCCGCCTTCGAGGAGGAGCGAGTCGACCGCCTCAACGCGCAGCGGAGGGAGGCGGAGCGGATGAACCAGGAGAGTGCAGAGTTCTACAAGCTCGCGCGGGAGCGACGCACCACGCAGGTGGCGCCCGTCTCGGTTGCCTCTGCCGCGCCGCCCCCGCCCCGCCCTCCGCCAAAGCGGCCGGGTGCCTCGCTGCCCGCCGCGCTTCGCGTCGTGCGGCCGCGGGCGGCGGAGGCGGACAAGCCTGCGGCGGCGGCGGCTCCCGCGCCCGCAGCCGCGGCTGCTGCGCCGGCGGCGGCATCGGCAGGAGCGGCCTCCGCCAGTGGCGGCGCCAGTGCGGGCGCCTCGCTGCTCGGGCTGGCGTACGGCTCCTCCTCCGACGAGGAGGGGTGAGCTCTCTGCGCCTCTGCGCTTCTTCGTTCTTGATCTTGTGTGGGAGCAAGTGGACTGCAGCGACACCGGGGTGGCGCCCCTGGCGCCCCAACCGAACGGCACCACTACGCACATACGAGTCGGTATACACGTATATTCTAGATAAAAATGCGTTCAAACCCCCCCGGCGGCCGGGACCACCGTGCACCGACAACGAGCCGCAACGCGACAGAGGGCCGGCGCGGCCGCATGCAAAAATAAACGCGACGCCTCGTCCTCGCACGCTCGGGCGGCCCCAGCGGCCAGCGGCGCGTCGCGGACCTCGCGTGCCCGGGCGGAGGCAGCCTCACTGCTGCCTGCGGAGCGGGATGCGCGGCAGCCCGAGCGAGTGGCGCGTGAGGTTGAGCGTGTTTTTGAGCAGCATCGCTATCGTCATCGGGCCGACGCCGCCCGGCACGGGGGTGATGGCGCCCGCGACGAGGGAAACCTGGTCAAAGTCGACGTCGCCTAGGGGACGACGTGCCGTGGACGTGTCGGGGACGCGTCGCGGGCAAGCGGGGCCTCGCCCGCGTCGACGTCACCGCAGAGCTTGTATCCACGCTTATCCTCGGGCGCGGGCTTCGAGTTGACGCCGACGTCGATCACGACCGCGCCGGGCTTGATCCAGTCGGCCTTCGACACGGAGGGGCAGCGTCGTCGACATGAGAAACAACAATGACGAGGAGGAGGAGGAGGAGGAGGAGTCGCCAAGGCGACCATTCATGTGACTGCCGGACCCTCTCCCGAGATCGCACAGACCGCCACCGCAACAACATGTACATGTGCATGTGCTCCGCGAGTGCGTGTGCCCCGTCGTCCGTGCTGGGGGCGTGTGTGTAAGACTGGCTGACTGACTGTCTGACTGACTGACTGCCTTGACGAGCTCAGCGCCGAGATATGGGGAGATATGGGGAGATATGGGGAGATAAGGGGAGATCTGGGGAGAGATGTGACTGCCTTGACGAGCTCAGCGCGTCCGATGGCGGCGACGACGATGTCTGCGCGCCGCACCTGCGCCGAAACAAGGCCGCGGCCAGGCTTTGCGATCTCTCCGGCGCAAGGCTTCGGGTCGGGAGGGGCGAGGCTTCGGGTCGGGAGGGGCGAGGCTTTGCGGTCATCAGGAGGGCCCAAGTATTGCGGTCTCTCTGGGCCGAGGCTTCGGGTCGGGCCGAGGCTTCGGGTCGGGAGGGCCGAGAGTGGGCCCAGGCACCTGCGGGAGGGCGAGTGGGGGTGAGGCGCGGGGACTTGCACAGTGCGCGCGCCACGCATCGAGGCAGTGCAGGGCTATAGCATGAGTGCAGCTTCGGGTCGGGAGGTCGGGGAGGGCCGAGGCTTTGCGGTCGGGGGGCCTCGCCGCCTGCGCAGGCAGGTCTGCGGTGCGCGAGTGGCAGACGGTGACGGTGGCGTCCATCGACTGGAGCAGGTGGGCGACAGGCATGCCTACGGGGGCGAGGACACAGGTCACGCTGCGCCCGCCGACGCGACGCAGCTGTGTGCGCGCGCTCGCCGACGATGTTGGACCGCCCAAGCACGACAACCTCCTTGCCGGCCACCTGCGGCCACGTGTGGTGGACGTGTGGTGGACGTGTCGTGGACGTGTCCCGAGGAGCGCCACACACCCGCTTCCTCGCGCGGCAGCGTGGAGGTACGGTGAGGTGAGGTGCGTTTCTCCACACACTCGAGGTGGTGGGGCAAGGGCCAGGCTAGCCCCTCGCGACTAGACGACAGGAGCCCCACGGCACTCAGAGGTGCGAGGCCCGGTGCGCGTGGGTGAGCCGTGTGGGAGTGAGTGTGTGTGTGTGTGTGTGTGGCGACCTGGATCTCGGACCGCTGCAGCAGCTCGACGCAGCCGGCGGGCGTGCACGGCAGCGCGAGGGGCGGCTCCCCGCCCCGGAGGCACATCCGGCCGATGTTTTCCGCGGAGAATCCGTCCACGTCCTATATAATATATAATATAATATCATTCAAACGTGTGTGATGTGATGTCGTCGTATGCGGGGGCGCCGTCTGCGGCCTTGGCGACGGCGATGGACTCGAGGACGGCGGCTTCGTCGATGTGCCTCGGCAGAGGGAGCTGCACGAGGATGCCTGAGGGACGGGTCCGCCACTCTTCCCCCCCCTCACAACATAGTGTCGTATCGCCCGCTCCCGAGGCGAGCGCGCGCCGTGGATGCGCGGGTCCGCGTTGAGCTCTTCGACGGTGGCGAGGAGCTGCTCCTGCGTGACGGTCTCGTCAAAGTTGCGGTCCACGGAGTAGAAGCCGACCTCCGCCGCCGCCTTCTTCTTCATCCGCACGTACGTCGCCGAGTCGGTCCGGTTGCCCACCAGCACGACGGCGAGGCCCGGCGTCGTGCCATGCGCCGCCTTGAGCTCGTCGGAGCTCGCCTTGATGTCGCGCCGCACGGCGGCCGCGATGGCCTTGCCGTCGATCAGCCGCGCCCGACCTTCGGCGGGCGAGGCCAGCATGGCCACGCCAGCAGCCCGTGGCTGCGCAAAGGCGACGCTAGCTCCGAACGGCCGCGCGTCGCGGCCGTGCTGCAGCTGCAGTCCGAGCGCGACGCTGGCGCTGAGCGATCCGGCAAGCGCGAGCCTCCGCACGGCCGATAGCTTCATGAATGGGCCGGCGGAGGCCTGTGACAGCGCTGAGGAGGCGGGCAGGGTGCCACTTCTCAGACACACGCTGTGTTGTCGTTGAGAAGAATTCTAAGTATCAGAAGCTAACCTGTTTTCTTTCTTTCTTTCAGCACGCTGGCACGACAAGGGCGCGGACTGATGTACGACGTCGTCGAACTCGTCGAACAAGTGGAGAATGGCCGTAGCTCCTCTCCACGAGCGATTCAGAAGACGTACCAAGTGTCGATTCTGTATAGAATTGCGAGGCGCACACGCTGGTGCAGGCGGCGAGACGTCGATCCGACTCGTTCGGCCGTGAAGTCGCCGTGAAGGGTTGGCAAACAGGCCATTTTGCCCACATTTTGCCCTCTCGCGCGATCTTCTCGCGTCGGCAAGCGCGCGGGCAAGGATGGGCGAGCCGGCCCCGCCACGCTGGACGGGCCAGCGGCTGGCACGCGCCGGCCACCCTTGCGTTGTCTGTTTTCTTTGCCAGCCCCCCTCCGTGTCGCGATGCGCTCCCCGCTCCCGTTCCCCTGTGTCCCTGATCGTCCTTACAAGATCCTGCTCGTGCAGGTGGGGACCCTGTCCTTCTCCCACCCCTCGTTTGGCGTGCCCGTTTTATTTATTTATTTATGTTTTCTTTCTTAGGACCCTGTCGTGAGGGTGAACCCTGCCCAGCCCCCCTCCGTGTCGCGATGCGCTCCCCGCTCCCGTTCCCCTGTGTCCCTGATCGTCCTTACAAGATCCTGCTCGTGCAGGTGGGGACCCTGTCCTTCTCCCACCCCTCGTTTGGCGTGTACGTTGTATTTATTTATTTATGTTTTCTTTCTTAGCTTGGGATGTCCGTTTTATTTATTTATTTATGTTTTCTTTCTTTCTTTCAGCACGCTGGCACGACAAGGGCGCGGACTGGCGCGGACTGGCACACACACCGTTGAGAAGAAAATAGAGGTGGGGGGGGGAGGGACGGAGGGTTGAGCGGTTTCTCGATCGCGTTCAAGGGCGCGGACTGGCGCGGACTGGCACACACACCGTTGAGAAGAAAATAGAGGTGGGGGGGGAGGGACGGAGGGTTGAGCGGTTTCTCGATCGTGTTCAAGGGCGCGGACTGGCGCGGACTGGCACACACACCGTTGAGAAGAAAATAGAGGTGGGGGGGGAGGGACGGAGGGTTGAGCGGTTTCTCGATCGTGTTCGACGTTTCTCATCCTCTCACTCCCAGCGCCCAGCACACTCACTCTGTTCATAGCGCACACTGGGCAAATCGGCCGATTTCCAACCCACTAAATCATCACGGCCCCGTAACACCCTCCGCGCGCGGTCAAAGGCTTCCCAGGGCCGGTCCATGACATGAACCGATAGACACAAGCAAAAAAAACCGCACCTCTAAGCTTCTCGGGCACCCCGAGGCCCATACGGCGCCCCGGCGGGCCCCGGCGGAGGTCCGGCGCGGCGCTCCAAATCCGCACTTCGCGAGCTTCTACGGGAGTTCACGCGGCCTCTCCGCCTCGCGAGGCACACCCCACACCCACCACGAGCCCTGGGGCCGTGGGAGGACCTTTGGCCGCGGCGTCCGGAGCTTTGGTCGTCGACAATCGGCCGCCAAGTAGGCCGTCGTACGAACGCGAACGTGTCCGGAGAGGCTCTCGGATGGGTCCGGCAGCGGTCCCATGGACCCAGAAGCTCGCCCCGGCGGAGAACTCACGACTCGGCCCCGCCCCAGGTCACCAAGATGTGCCCTTGGACAGGCGTGGGGGCTCGGATGACGACGTTGGCGCCCGCGACGACGCCCTCCCCGACGACGTCGCATCTGGCAGACTACGCTCTACGGCGGTCGGGCGGCGGCAGCGCGGATGATCACATGGTTTGGGACTCTGAGCGATGGCAGAGGCCTTTATTTGCAAACGAGGACGCCCCGCGAGGCCCCATCGGCCGGGAGTGGTGAGTGGGACCATAAACAAGCACTATATCCCCTACCGCGACCAGCCCACACACAGCCCAAACCGCTGCCAAAACCGGCCCTGGTCACGCCGGCCGGGAGGCTGCCGGGGCGCCCAAACAGTCCCTCACGAACGCCACACGGGCCACCACGGCCCGTCCGGCGGCCCGAGTGCCGCCCCACACCCGCCCGACGCCCTCGGCCAGCCAGCACCCACTCTGAGAGGCTTCACCGCCGCCAGCGCGCCGAGCGCGCCGCCCTCTCCTCGCGCAACACGGGCCCCTGGCCGCACGCCCGAGAGGCGGC